AACACACAGAGAGAATAAACAGACAATTTCAAAAGCAGATAAGATCACTGCTGCAATGCTAAACAAAAGCTTTCATGCCTCCCTCCACTCTCAGCATGTGAGCAAGCATTCATAGGGGCATATGTGCAAACACACACACAGAAGAGCCTTTGAAGCAAGCTCAGTATCACCCACCACCGAGTTCTTTCCCACATAGTCTCACAGAATCTATTTTTGTATTCCAGTGAGACTTGCAGCAAAGAATAGAGCTTCAGTAAAAAGAGGAAATAATTGCTGTGCTATACCTCGGGTTTTCTCACTTCCTTATTTGAAAACAATCGCCCAACAAGTCCAGCAAAGAATCCAGAACAACAGGACAGCCTCCCACACGGCCATGCATTGTTCCCGGGAACTGAACTGGGTCCACTTAAAAGTTGCAATGACTTGCTGTCTTCTTAGCAAGTGCTTCATAATATATTACAGCCCAGGGGACTGGAAGAACCTTCCACATCATCTGGTTCAACCCCATCATTTTACAGATGAAGAACTTGGAAGATAAACTTCAACACACTGCAGACTCTAATTTAAACATATGTTCAGTTTTAAGGAGATTGCCAAACTTAGAAATATTGTAAAACCTCCAAAACATTTTTTCATGAGATAGAAATAATTGTCAATTATTAAATGAAGAAAGAATAGAGATTAAAGTAGTACAGGACCCCCATCTGAAAGTCAGAAGCATTTATATCTAGAGAACTGAAAGATTAAAACCTGCCAGAGTGAACACACAGACTTTGTAAGTAAAGAGAACACTGGGGTTCCATGTTGAAAATTAACAGTTTAACCATCAAACACTGGTCTAACTTTATACCTAGACCAGCCAGTTTACAGGAGCCACCCTGGTTTCCAGAGAACTGAGGCTTTGAGAAAATGGCTCAGGCACAATGGCGCTGTGACCAGTGGCCTGAAGTGGTGGACCCTGGGCCACACTGGCAACAGCGTAGGAGCTTGCTAGACATGTAGATTCTTCAACTAACCAGGGCTCACAGACACCAGGGTGACAATCAGGGACCCTCTATGGGTCAGAGTTATGGTTGTATAGCTGGGTGTTCCTGTGGGACTCCTAACAGTGGGAGTGGGGGTGTCTCTGCTCTTGGAACCCTTTTCCTCCTACTGAGTGGCCTCATCCAGCCTTGATACGAGGGTCTGTGCCTAGTCTTACTGTAACTTGTTAGGCCAGGCTGAAATCCTTGGAATGCCTGCTTCTTTCTGAAGGGAAAGGAGGAGGAGTGGATCTGGGGAGTGTGGAATTGGGAGGGAGGGACCGGGAAGAGTGGGGGGAACCGCAGTTGGGGTGTAATGTATGAGTGAAGAATAAATAAACCAATTTTTAAAAAGAGAAATGCAGATTCTTGAGTTCCACCCAGCCTTCAGTCAACATATGCTACTAATAAGGTCCGCAAGTTCTTTTTGGTACATGAAAATTTGAGAAGCATTTATTCAAATTCAAGTCTAACTGACTGTGTGTGACCACCAGCACTCTGAATTTCCATCCCCCACTATTTCTTAATTCTATATGTCCCTATACCCATTGATTCTGAACTGCAGATTTCCCACTAAGCAGCTTATTTTAATTGCTGAAATAGTCTCGTTATTGATGGAGCATGTGATCAAACTGGATTCTCTGAATGTGGCTGACAATGAGGGCTGACTGAGAAGCCAAGGACAATGGCACTGGGTTTTGATTCTACTGCATGTACTGGCTTTGTGGGAACCTAGTCTGTTTGGAAGCTCACTGTCCTAGACCTGGATGGAAGGGGGAAGACTTTGGACTTCCCACAGGGCAGGGAACCCTGACGGCTTTTGGACTGAAGAGGGAGCGGGAGGGTGAATGGGGAGAGCAATGAGAGGGGGTGGAAATTTTTAATAAAAAGTAAAAAATTTGCTGAAAAAAAATTAAATCACCCCCCCCCAAAAAAAAGAAGATAGATAGCTAACGAAAACATAATCAATTAGTGTTTCTGTTGCAGTCACTGGACCAAATATGTGTCTTTACTTGAGCTGATTAACATATATTCTGGTATATAGTATGGAGCTACTGATCTAGCAAATGATTGAAATAGTCTCATTCCAACAATACGTTGTTTGTTCTTGGAACAAAAGGACTACTGTGAAGAAATTCACCTTTCTGAAGCACTGGAAGGTGAAGCCTCATAGCATCATAGTCCAGAGTAAAATAAAGCAAAACGTAAAATACCAGAGGAGATGAATGTAGGCAGGTGTCTCACCACTGGACATTCCCAAATCTTATTAAAAGTATGCCTTTGTACTTTTTAAGACTGATTTTTCCTACTTTTAGTTATATATGCACATGTGTGTTTGTGTGCATGTATGTACATGTGGGTTTAGATACCCTAGGAACTCACAGCTCCCAGAGGAGCTGAGAGCCACCTGAAGTGGGTTCTAGGAATCAAACTCAGGTTCTTTGCTAGAGCAGTACAGGTTCTTTGCCTCCAGCACCCTATCTGGGACCTAACATATGTTAAGCAAGTACTTTCTCAATGAGCTTCTTCTCAAACCTTTAATTTTTTTTTTTTTTGACAGGGTTTCTCTGTAGCTTTGGAGCCTGTCCTGGAACTAGCTCTTGTAAATTGGACTGGCCTCAAACTCAGAGATCTGCCTGCCTCTGCCTCCCGAGTGCTGGGATTAAAGGCATGCACCACCGCTGCCTTAATATTTTTTTTAGGTTGTAAAACTTTCCTTCAGTTATGTAAGTATACATTATATATTTTTAAATCTATCATTAAGATTACCTTGAAGCATACCAAAATATTAGCTATTATCTTTATCTGTAGAATTATAGCTGATATTTTTGTTTGGTTTTTTATTTTTTTATTGTTTTTATTGAGCTATTTATTTTTCCCCTCTCCCCTCCCCTTCTACCCTTTCCCATGGTCTCCATGCTCCCCATTTACTCTCTTTAATATTTTTTAAAATATTGGCACAATTCTGTTTAAGAGACTAATGATGAGTACAAACTGTGAAATGGCAATCCTTCCAGGGAGCTCTGAATGATTGACTGGCAGATCACAGTGGCCAGCAATGACGCTGCATTGGCCCACTGCAATGAAGTCACCCTTGGGGAGGAACAACTCACAACTCCCAAAAAGCAATGAAACATAATCGTGCATATCTGAATGGTGTGCTTTTCCTGACATTTCAAAGTTAAAATGAGTGAACTCTAGAAAATTGTTAATGGGGTCCCAAGCACTTCAAGTGAGTCATCTCTTGCATTAACACCAGTTATTTGCATTAATCCCAGCACTCAGAAAGCAGAGGCAAGCAGATCTCTGTGAGTTCACAGCCAGTCTGGTCTATAAAAGCTAATTCCAGAACAAGCTCCAAAGCTACAGAGAAACCGTGTCTCAAAAAAAACAAAAAACACCTGTTATTTGTATTACAAAGTGAGCATGACTCTATTGTGCTGAGACCTGGTCATACTCACTCGTTACATTACCCAGGAAGTAAGAAACCTCAACTGAAGAACTGCCATCATCAGACTGACCTGTGAGCAGGTCTTTGGAGCATTTGCTTGATGAATGGCTGTCTGTGAAGAGCTTTCCTGTGGGTTGGTGGTCCTGGACTGTATAAGAATGCAAGCTGAGCAAGCCTTAGGGAGTAAGCCCGTAAGCAGCATTCATCCATTGGATTCTGATTTGAGCTCCTGCCTGAAGTCCGTGCTTTAGCTTCCCTTGGTGATAGACTAAAACTTGGAAGCTGGAATAAATCCTTTCCTCCCCCAGATGGCCTTTGGTTCGCATGCATTATCACAGCAACAGAACGCAGACCAGGACATAGGTTTGCTGTTCTTGCTTCAGTCCTGGGGATTGAACCTCCAGCCTTGCACTATGTGCTCCAGAACGGGAGGGGGGGGGGGGCTGGCTACATTCTCAGCCCTCTTCATACCTTCCCCCACCCCACCCTAAAACAGAGTCTGGCCTTGAATTTACTGTGTGTAGTCCAGGTCAACCTTGAACTTTAGATCTTCCTGCTACTGTCTCTGAAAGAGCTGGGGTTTCAAACCTGTAGGAACCACCAGGCCCATCTTAGAGTTGGTAAATTCTGACTTTGGATCAGGAAATGGAAGAGAGGATGGATGAGCTACATTAATACATTAATGCACACGTTACACCTAGAACTACTGAGGCAAAGGGAAATTGGGCTGGTAATTATCCAGGTTTCTTGGCTGGTGCCAAGTATGTAAGACCTCAAATGGCAAGAAAACAGAAGGCAGACGCACAGCCTGCTCATGCGAAGGCCAAACAGAAAAGCCAAAAGGGGAAGAGAAGCTGTGACCTGCGACCATCCCAGTGCTCATCTTCTGCTTCTGTTAATCAGAGTGTGTGTCATATCCTGCCCCAGGGAAGTCATTAGCCCTGCAGAAAGGTCTGGAAAGTTACCAGTTTGAAAGGAGAAGCAGTGCGAATGACAGGAGGTGGGCCGAAGAGGAAAAAAAAAAAGAGGGTTATTGCTCCATAAACAAGTTCTTTTTAATTGACATTTCAACAAAGCTATCAAGGTCACTACAAACAAGAGAGTGGAAGCGGAAGGCAAGCAGGGAGGGCTGCAGTGATAAGAGCTGGCAGGCAAGCCAGTCACACCATAATCATCAAAGTGTCTCCTTCCTATCCCTGCTTCATAGTGGGGAACCTGGTTTTTATGTCGCTTCGAAGCATAGAAAATTTTAGCAAAAAGGTTCAACCTATCCCATCTTAGAAATCTGGCCACTCTAAACCAAGAATTACCTAAATCTCTGGAGGATTGACGCCAGGGCCTTGCACATGGTAGGAAGTACTCTCTCCCTGAGCTAGAGCCTCGGGGGACACTGCATCTCTGAGGAAAATTTTCCTCATTTTCTAACACAAATAACCAATGTTCAAATAAAGATACTTCGCCTGGATCTAGAATGCCGCTCTATGTGATTCCTCTTGAGCGCGCCTCTCTTTGCCATGAACCCTTACCTTCAGAAATGACTTTTCTCACAGCCGCCAGGTAGGTCTCCGGCTCATCATCACAGGTGAGCTCCTGCCAGTGCGCCCATTCCGGAAAGAAGGTCTCAAAGTCCTCATCCTCGGACTGCACTCCGCACAGCAGCCGCACCACACGCTGCGGAGGGTGGAAGGCTCGCTGCAGTACCGGCAGCAGTCCGGGCTGGCAAAAACATTCCACCAGCCCCGCAGACAGTAGCACCAGCATGCACCGTGCATCCCGGAACACCCACAGGTCCTGGGCAGAGAAGGAGGTCTCCGGGCCCAGCCGGTATGTCCGCATCTTCTGACTGCGGACCTGATGGCAGGATATGAAAAGGTCCTGTAAGTACTGGCACCATTCCTCCGCATCTGGGCTGTAGAAGATGAGAATGTCGCATCCTCGGCCCCACCCTGCAAGGAGACAGGGAAGTTCGTTAATGCCTGCTGCTTCTTGGAGGCAATCTGAAACTGGGGAGACATACTATCCAACAGGGCCCGGTACCTACAACTTCCCAGGAATACCTAATCCATTTGTCTAGCCCTTTTTCCTTCTTGCAGTACACCAATGTGCCAGACACGCCACACTCGTCACCCAAACACGTGCCAGTGGTAGGATTTCTTTAGCCAATGACTTTTGGGACAGCAAGCCCTAGGGCGTGGTCTTATCTGCCTATGACAGAGAGTAAAAGCTGAGGGAGAGGGTCACAGCTCTCTTGCTCTCTGGCTTTGTTGGGTGATCAGAGCTGGCCGCTAACAGACCCTTGCCATTGGTGCTCAATGTGGCCCGTTGAGTTACTTAGCCAGGGCTCACAGAGGTAGCCAGTAGCTGATCTGAACCTAAAACATAGTTCTGTTTCAAATACAGTGGTCAGGAACATAGCAGTGAGATCAGACTGTAAGGGTCAGAATTCTGGTTCTGCCAACTAGCCACACAACTCCAGGAAAAATTACTAAAATTTTCTGGGCCTCAGTAGTAGAAACAGCATGACAATCTTTATGCCAAATTCTCAGCAAAGAGCTTGGAGTAGAAAAAGAACCCTCAGGAATTAAAGACTGGTGTCATGAGCCTCTCATTGACCGAGTATAAGTGTGAGAGGGTACCGTGTGAGTTGATGCTTTGACCTTCTCTCCCGCACGGTTGGTCTGTGACAGATGGGCAGAAACAAACAGGCAAAGAGGGCAGGGATGGAGTCACCTGGTCCTTATCCTTCACTTACAGGTGAAAGAAACACATTGTCTGAGAAGATGAAGGGGCTTACTCAGATTCACAATCAGTAAGTTAACAGTAGAGCCAGGACCAACATTCATGGTGGTTCCCAGTCCAATCCTTTGTCCCAGCCTCTACTTCCTCCTATCAGGAAATAGGCCAAGACTCTTATAAAAGAGTCATGTCACATCTTCCAATGATTGAAATTCAAAGAAGGTAGGCTCTTAACATTACTGTGACACTGTCCCAGGCCGTGGCTTTGACATCCTAGTCTGGAAATAATGTGGCATGGATGAACACAAAGTGTACATGCATCCTATGATGAAGCAGGCTGGGGGAAGGGCAGGGGATCGTTTGTGAAACAGTGATCTAAGTCGTAGAATTTCACAACGAAATGTCAGCCCTGGGGGTGTTGAGGTGGCTCAGGACGTAAAGGTGTTTTGGGGCAGCTTGGCCACCCGAGTGCAGTTCCCAGAAGATGAAAGGATAGAATCAATGCCACAAAGTTGTCCTCTGACCTCCACACACATGTCATGGTACACATGTACACACAACACACATGCACGCCCAATAAAAATAAAGAAATGGCATTTCTGATCCATATATCACTGAGTGGTTCAGTTAAGGTCAGAAATAGGATCAGAGTAAGTCCCCGGGACTCTAAGCTCCAAAAAGACCATAGGAAAAATCCTTTATTCTGGCCATCTCCCTTGGCAGCTAACTTGAACTCTAGACCCTCCTGGCTCCACCTCCCAAGGGCCAGCGTTTAGAGGTATGTGCCACCATGCCAAGCCAGTGGCAGTGTTTTCAGAAAGGTTAACAAGTGGACAAAGAAGTAAAGAAGAAGAGGATGTCTTGAACATAAGAAGCATCATTAAGAAAGTAGACTATGGCATAAGAACAGACAGGAGGACCAATGGAACTGAATAGAAGACCCGGATATCAATCCACACATCTTCAAACACCTGATTTTTGACAAAGAAGCAAAAAAAAAATCAAATGGAAAAAAGAAAGCATATTTAACAAGTGGTGCTGGCATAATTGGATATCAACATGTAGAAGAACGAAAATAGATCCATATCTATCACCATGCACAAAACTCAAGTCCAAATGGATCAAAGACCTCAACATAAAGCCAACCACACTGAACCTTATAGAAGAGAAAGTGGGAAATACACTTGAACGCATTGGCACTGGAGACCACTTCCTAAATATAACCCAGCAGCACAGACACTGAGAGAAACAATTAATATATGGGACCTCCTGAAACTAAAAAGCTTCTGTAAAGCAAAGGACACGATCAACAAGACAAAACAGCAGCCTACAGAACGGGAAAAGATCTTCACTAACCCCACATTAGACAGAGGTCTGATCTCCAAAATATACAAAGAACTTAAGAATTTGAACATCAAAAGATCACATAATCCAATTTAAAAAAATGGAGTACAGACCTAAACAGAGAACTCTCAACAGAGGAATCTAAAATGGCTGAAAGACATTTAAGGAAATGTTCAACATTCTTAGTCATCAGAGAAATGCAAATCAAAACAACTCTGAGATTCCATCTTACACCTGTAAGAAGGGCCAAGATCAAAAACATTGATGATAACTTATACTGGAGAGGTTGTGGGGGAAAGGGAGCACTTCTCCATTGCTGGTGGGAATGCAAGCTGGTACAACCCCTTTGGATGTCAGTGTGGCGATTTCTCAGAAAATTGGGAAACAACCTTCCTCAAGACGTTCATGATGAGGCCAGCTAGGTGGCTGGTCAGGCAAAGACTCTTGTACTAAGCCTGATTACCTGAGGTCAGTCCTCCAAAGCTCACATGGAAGAAGGAAGGAACCAACTCCCACAAATTGTCCTCTGATTTCTACAACTTCCACCTAAACACCTTGGCCTACTCTCTCACTCAATCTTCAAGACTAGTCCAGAAGTACATGCTTACAACAGCCTCACTCAGCATCAACGCTAAAGTTCATTGTTCATGAGCTGCTGCCAAAGAGTGAACCACGAGGGCAATACCAGGAGTTGACTGCAGAGCCCCCATTCTGAATTTATAAAGTGCACCCTATTTTAAAGGTCAAAGAAATGCAAAATGTAATTTAGAAAGTACAATTAAAACACATCTAGTGCCGTTGGTTTGAAATGCCATTTTCTAATTAAAAAGACAAACCAGAAATTCCTGGCTGGTTCTCCCAATGATTCTAGGAATATTTATTTCACATGGCAAGAAGTATACAAGGAGCCCAGAGCATCTTGTATGGCAAAAAATAAGGACCTGCTCCAGTGAAAATACTATGATGAGTGCATGTGAGAGGAAATGAGGGCCAACTGAAGGGGCTTCCACAGTCCAAGCAGAAGCAGTGTGGGAAGGAAAATAGCTGATGTTACAAGGCATTGCAAGTCAGAGCACAAAATATAAGTGAGATGCCCATGAGTCCATACATAGTGCCAGAATTAGGTGATTGAGCCAATAAACTAGGGAGAGGATGGGATGTAGCTCAGTAGAGCAGCACAAGATCCTTCCTTCAATCTCCAGCACCAAAATCAGTAAGACAATAGTAATTCAAAACTGAGGGAAGCTGGGCGGTGGTGGCACATGCCTTTAATCCCAGCTCTCGGGAGGCAGAGACAGGCAGATCTGTATGAGTTTGAGGTCAGCCTGGTCTACAGAATGAGTTCCAGGACAGGCTCCAAAGCTACAGAGAGACCTTGTCTCGAAAAACAAAAAACAAAAAACTAAAAGAAAAGAAAAACAAAACAAAAGGCCAGGCAGTGGTGGTATATGCCTTTAATCCCAGCACTTAGGAAGCAGGAGCAGGTAGGAACTCTCTGGGAATTCGAGGCCAGCCTAGTCTACAGAGTGATTCCAGGATAGCCAAGGCTATGCAGAAAAACACTGTCTCGAAAAAGCAACTCCTTCCCCAAAAACACCCTGAAAAAAAAATACAAATTTCTTATGCATACAAATCCCAGGTAATTTCTGTAGGTAATCCAACCCTCAGGGAAACATAACACATCTCTTTCTAAATGTGGGTTGTGCCTAGTGATTTCTTTCCAAAGAGCCCAGTATGGAAAGACAGAAAAAGTCACTTCAAAATAGACAAATTCAACAAATACTGTCTCCACCCAATGACCAAGATCACTATCAACAACCAGGAGATGTGTTAATAGCCTGTGCTCTTAAAACAAAATCCCTGACTAGCGCTTCTCAAGACTTTCATAGTGAGAGGTGAGGTCAGGAGGAAAAAGTAAGGGGTCCAGGACAAGCTGTGGGGGTGAGCATAAACAAAACACACTGCACACACATATGAAATCTCAAATGATCAGTAAAAATAGTGCACTTCTAAAGGACTGCCAAGGATTTCGAGATTAAGCTCAGCAATTAAAGGCATTTGTTGCTCTTGCAGAGGTCTGGGATCCGGTGCCCAGCATCTACATAATGGCTCACACCTTCTGTAATGATGCCCTCTTCTGAGCTCCTCGGGCATCAGGTGTGTACGTGGTGCACATTCATACATGTGGGCAAAACACTGGTACTCATAAAATCTGCCTTTAAAAAAGGATTGCCAAGGGCTATCAAGATCTAGGAAAATATGATAAAAATCCCAGCTGAGAGGCACCTAAGGAGACATCACTGGGAAATTAAGTGTGTTATCTTGGATGGAAACCAGGGACACTGTGTACAAACTAAGGAGACTTGAAAAAAAACATAGGCTAAAAACTAACTGACCACCCAGAATGTGGGACGCTGAAGCAGGGGAAGAAAGAATTACAGAGTCCAACCTGGGACAACCTGGGGCATAGTGAGTTCCAAGCTAGTCTGAGTTATATGTTGATATCTTGTCTTAAAAGGCACCCTCCAAAAATAATAATTACCAATACTGGTTTAGGTGTTTCAGTAAGTGTATCACATTAATGTAAGTTGCCAGTAAGAACGGGGAATTAGAATACATGGGAACTCTACAAAGTTTCTGTCATTTTCCTGGAAATCTAAATCTGTTCCAAAATAACTTTATTAAAAACACAATCGAATATGGAAAACAGCCATTTAAAGTGGCTTGTTCCTGGGACTCAAGGTTTGAATCCAATCTCCATTGAGCAAGAGTATTTAGGAAGGCCCACACCTTTAATCCCAGCACTCAAGAGGCAGAGGCAGGTGGATCTCTGTGAGTTTGAGGCTAGCCTGGTCTACAGAGCTAGTTCTAGGGCAACCAGGACTACACAGAGAAACCTTGTCTTGAAAATACAAAGCAAAATAAAACAAAACAAAAAGCCCTAGATTGTCTGGGGGTTAGCAAGATGGCTCAGTGGTTAAGAACACTGGTGATTCTTCCAGAGAACCTGGGTTCAAGTCCCAGATTCCACATGGCAGCTTACAACTGTCTATAACTCCAGTTCCAAGGAATCCAACACTCTCACCCAGATACATATGCAGGCAAAATACCAATGCACCTAAGAATAATAATTTAATAATAAATTAAAAGAATATTTGAAAAGAAAGTGACTGGTGCCTCGGTCAAATTAATATCACAACCTCTGTGACTCTGTGTGTGTGTGTGTGTGTGTGTGTGTGTGACTGTGTGTGTGTGTGTATGTGTATGTGCAGTTTGACTTCAACCAATATCATAAATGGAGGCAAATCTGCTCTCACTGTAAATAACTGCAATTCAATTTACCATCCTCCCGACGCCTTCAGGGCTGCTGAAATCAAAAGCTGGGGAAGTTGTAAAAAAGTCCAAAGTGGAAGTTCAAGTTCCTCCCCGAGGGAGCAGCCAGAGCTGTCAGCTTTGTCAGCAACTCTCCCCATGTGGGGGAATGCCCCCTTTCTTCCACAATTCCCTTCCTTCATCCCCAAGTCATTGCTCCCCATTTTCAACCACTTCTTTTTCCTATTCAGTAAGAGAAACAATGCATGAGTCAACAAGGAGCCCACAGACCGTGGCAGAAAGGAGGAAAGGGTTTTGTTCTGGTGGACTGCAAAGAACAGGTTTGGCTACAGGCGGGAAGGGATTGAGTCCAGGAAGGAGTCACAGTAGTGGGGATTTGTGGGACACGGGGGTGGGAGGGGGAGCAACACACAATGGCTGACACTGACCCTGCAGGGGACCCTGTCTGTTTGACCTGGAGCCATGTTGGAACCAGAGCGCCACTATTCGTTCCTTCATTCACTCATTCATTCACTTATTGTTGTATGTGTGTGTGCACGCTGTGCTGTGTGTTCATGAAACCACAGCATATATGTGGAGGTCCAGGAACACCTTGCAGGATCCGGTTCTCCCTCTCCCCGGGGCCTCCCATGTGAGTCCCAGGGGATCAAATTCAAGTCATCAGGTTTGGGGACAAACACTCTTACTAGTTGAGCTATTGCTGTGCCTGTGACCCGACAAGCCCCGTGATGGCAGGAGGATCTAAAGAGGAACCTGGGAAGAGGGGGCAGGACAAGATCTGAGCACTTTCCTCGGGTTCGTGGAGGCCACAGCCTGGAAGGAAGTACTCTGATCTTCACCAGCTGCAGACTTGGTACCTTTGGGGACGCCCTAGGCGCTTTCCTCACTCTCTCTCTCTGGTAAATAAGGGAAACGATTCCAGCACAAAGTGCTCACACTTCACCTCACTACTCAAGGTTCTTCCAAGGCCAAGGGGCCAAGATTCTTCACGATTTCAAGCAAACTGAGCAAACACATCTTTCAGGAAAGACTAATTTTCACCCTCTGATGGCAGGGAATTTAAGAAGGCCAGAGGATTAAGCTACAGCTGAGTGGACCTTGAACACATTACGCAGCAAGAAGTCAGTCATTAAAACCACAGACTACACGATCCCATTCATCTTCCAGTTCAGAGCAGGGCATTCCAGAGGTGAGGTAGACTGGTGTACTGGAAAGGAGGCAACACCTCTCTTTGAGGGGATGACATCCCTCTCAAAGTCACATGCTTGTGAAGACACTAGAAACCCCTCACTGTGCTCTTTCAGGCACGTCCAATCAGTAGCCCGTGAGTCGAACATATCCCAGCATAGCTATGAGTGGGACTCAACTCATTTGGACATGATGTCATGCCACGATGTCAAAAGGTTAGACACAGAGCATTTTGGGTAAATACATTATACTATTATTTTAAAAATAAGAAAACCATACAGGAGGTTGGCCTGGCTGACTCTCCAGCCTATGGCATGTTAGCGGGAAACAAGACTTCCTCCCACTGTGACCTGCCCTCACGAGGACTTGTAGCTGTAGACTGCAGGGAGCCCAGGGGAACCCAGTCTCACTCACACCACCTGGCACGGTGTCTCGCCACAGAGGCAATGACAGCAAGAGGTTTGGATAGCTTTATTCACCAATCCACAGAGTGTACTAGGTTTGGTTGCTGGGCTGGAGTCCTCATCTAAACCTGAGTCCTCCTGTCGAGGCTAGCCCCCTCAGCTACACCTCTTGGAGCCAGCCTCCTAGACACAAGGCAGGGAAAGCAGGTTGCTTGGCCTCCTTTGCTCAAGGCTCACCAGTTTGCTGTTCGCCTGTTCCAGCCAGGAAAGGGGGCGGAAGCACAGCCAGCTTATTTTCTTCTCTTCCTAACTCCTCCATCCACCCAGCCATGATAGTTGTTCCCTGTATCTTGAACACATGGCACAGACCTTTTGCTTGGAGCGCTCACCTCCCCAGGGCCCTCTATCTCCCACTCCTTTGGGTCTTGCCTAATTTCCTTTGTTCTGAGACTTCACCTAACCATTCCATTTGAAAGTCTAACTCAAACCCCCTCACTACCATTTGTTTTCCCTTTGCCCATATCATGCCAAGTATTGTCTTATTAAATGAGTCGTTGTCTTCCCTGCCCTCACGGTTACATGGCTTTTATCTTCTGGTTTCCTGAACACCTAGTACCGTGCCTGGAAACCATAATCACGACATCAACGTCTGCCCAGTGAATGAACCCCTGTATAGAACCCTTGCCTCCATCACTGATTCTTCCAACCCATAGAGCCTGACTAGGGAGAGATGAACCACTCCCACCCTCTTCAGTAATGAGCCAGTACCATCACCGCCCTTTGGACCCTGGTTCCAAAGTACCATGACCTGAGGCTAGGCCTTCTCAGATCTGGAGAGAGCTGGTTCTTCCTTCCCAAGCAGTGACTTCCCCAGCCCACTACACTTCTTTCTTCCTGTTTTCAGGCACTGTCTCTCTAAAAACAACAGCCTTGGGCTGGGTAAACACTGGTAAACCAAACCAAAAACAGGCAACTCTCTCTTTTCACCTAGCAATTCCCCATTTACTCACTGTTTTCTTTCACACCAACCACCAAAACAGAGACCAGGCCTGCAATTCATCACCAAGAACATAACATGTCTAATGTCCACTGGGGTGTAGAGGCAGGGGTCATTAATCGTCTTTCAACATTATCATTGTGTGGTTTGTCCTAGACCTCAGCAAGCTGAGGACTTGCCAAGTACATACATTCATGATCTAGAAAGAAACTCAAGACCAACCAGAAGAAACCCTGGCACCCTGTGATAGGTAGATTTGCCCACCAATTTCCAATTCTCCCTGGACCTTACAGTCCTACGGAGAACACAGTAATAGAAGCTTTAAAGTGGCAGCAGTCTCAGGTTTCAGCACATTTCCAGAGGAAAAAATACAAACCCGGTGGATGAATGGGACCTCTTAAGCTGCCCCAGGACCACTTCTGATCTTCCAGGACCACCTAGGACGCCTGAGCGCCCCCTATTGGTCGGGTAAGACCCTAAGAGAAGCATTTGGCCCTTTAGAGAAGCTGGCCCTCTACCTCCTTTCAACGGTCTCAATACTCAAGAGTTACAACCGAGAAAGAAACCCTAGGACTACTTGGACCAGAACTAGAGAGAGAGAAAAAGAAACTTAGAAACTGGGATGGGGCGAAGTTCCTGGCAGAAATTGGAGAGAATTGCGCACAAGCCAGAGAGGCGAAACGTGAGAAAGTTGGAAGGGGAAGTTTGCGACAGAAGACCTGAGAAAGCATCAGTAAGAACACAAGATCCCAGCACTAAGGACTAAAAAAATGAGAGAAAGCTAGTCAGGCCGTGTGGGTGGTGCCAGAGAGGCTGAGGGACCAACGCCGAGGGCGCGAGCCGGGACTCGGGAGCCAGGGACCGTGCCTGCTACCCACCTGAGGCTGCCATGCCGTCGCGGGAGCAGCTCGCATCCCCGGCCAGCCTGGAGCACGGTACCCGGTGCCCGCAGCTGCAGTGGACGATGTCGCTGGCACGGGGAGGGAGTGGAGCCCGGCTGCGCTCAGGACAGCGGCGACTCTGCCGCTTCCTCCCGCGGGGCATCAGGGACTCACGCGGGGGCGTGTCCACAGGGTCCGCCCCGCCTGCTGGGCTCCGCTGGGCACCTGCACGCGCGGCGGTTGGGGAAGGGAAGTGAGAAGCCCACAGGACCAGCCACCAGCTCCCGGCGCTGACCCCTGCTCGTGCCACGTGTGGCCCGTGCCTCAGGAAAGCTCGCAGCAACCTCGGCGGCCGCCAAAGAACAGCCTCAGATGCGGGAACTGGGGGAGGGGACCTGAGGCGGGGATGCACAGCTGTCCCAACCATCTTGTCCCTTGGGACTTGTCCTTGAGACGCTGCCCCCAAGAAGGAGGGTCTGCAGGAAGAGGAAGGAGAAGCACCTGGCCTTGGGGTCTTGGCGTTGCCCTTGGGTGCCCTCCTGTGACCCTTCTGCATTTTCTTGGATCTGGTCCTCTGAGGGCACACGGGTGTTAACTGTAATTTTTGATAGATGGACGTTATCACCGCCTTCCACACACTATTGCTCCACTTCCATTACCAGAGCTCTTTCTCTGGCTTTCTTCTATCTCCCTCCACTTTTTTTGAAAATTGTCTTTTTATTTGTTTGTTTTATTTTTATTTATTTGTGTGCCTGAGTGGGAGCATGCTTGCACAGGTTGCAGATTACATTGAGAGGTCAGAAGACAACTTGTGGGAGTCTGTTCTCTCCTTCATTACGGAATCAAACTTTGACTTGACACGAGGCAGGCACCCTTATCCAGAGCCATCTCACCAGCCCCTCCCCTTCTACTTCTAAGGAGGTCAAGTGAGTTCGCTGAACTGACAAGACCATCCAGGAAAAACTGTCTAATAGTTCCCTGATGGTGGACACCTCAATACATCTACAACTTCAGTTCTTTGTCCTATAAGGTAGCAAATTCACAGATCTAGAGATTTGGGTCCCGGCATCTTTGGGCACAGTTACTCTGTCTAACACAGGTACACACAGGAATTCCTAAAGCAGAGATGAGCATGCTGCCTGCCATTCTCTCTGTTTCGGATATCCTTGGCCTCCATCCTTGTTCTGACGCACAGTGATAGATAGCCATTCCATACTATTAAAGTTCTTTCAGATTATAGTAGCATTTGTTTATTTTCAGAATAGCTTTCATTGATGCTTCCTGTATTCAATCTAAGTCCCTCAGAGTTAGTCCAGTCTTTTTTGCTGTGGAATCTCTACCCTCTGGGGCCAACTCGGGCCAGAAGATATGCTTGGAAACTATTTGTGGAATGTGTGCATGAATGCCTATGACCAGGAAATCCTTACATCTGAGATCCAGGGACAGAGGGGACTTTTCAGACACTGAAAACTTGGGAATCATTAAGCTGAGAGGAAGGAAATATAAATTGCCAAAGTCCAGCCGTGTGTTATCCAAGCTATCAGAAAGCAATGATAATTGGAGCGGGAGGTAAGTTTACAGATACTGAGCTTGAAGTACCTGTGTAGTGGCCTGGGGAGTTCTGTCGTGGCACAAGGGGGTGCCACTTAGAGCCTTGCCAAGGATGTCATACTTGGAGTTGAAGTAGCAGCAGTGGGTGAGGAGAGGAGATAAAGATCCAGAACCAGAGCATGGACAGAACCATGGAGAAGGCCCAAGCCCAGGCATCACAGACAGAGTATGGGCAGAAACATGGAGAAGGCCCATGCCCAGGGAACACAGACAGCATCTCTGAAGGGAAAGCTGAATAAGAACTGGAAACCAATGTTAGGAGGCCCAGGAAGGAGGGCCTTGCAGACAAGGCTGTCAACAGTATTTGAGGATCACTGTGAGGCTCTGGGAGAATGTCACTGTCAATAGGCAGGAGACCAGGCTGAAGCAGAGGAATGTGAACAGGGAAGAGAGGTAGGTGGTAGGACCAAAGCTTGGAGCTGGGACAGGGATCTGAACCCTGAATTCTTATCCCAGTCCTCTACTTACAGCTATGGATCCTCAGAAAGCCGTGACCCTGAGAACCCTCAGCTTCCCCAGTGTGGGCAGTGAGGGAATCCCAAGCCAGAAAATACTGGGTTCAGACACTAGCCTTCCAGACCCTACCTTGGCCTGAAGCCTCCCTAAAGCCTCTTGAGTCACCAGACCTGGCTGATCCATGCTCCCTGTTGCAGTTATTTTATAATTAGCCTGTCTTTGAGGCCAAGTCCCCAGCGTCCTCACTTCAAAAGCAAGCTCCCTTTTCTGACTGCAGGTTCTAGGAAGCAAGGGCCCTCTCCTGCCTCCTAACTGGGATGATCCGGACAACTTCTAACCTAAATAGTCCTGCACCATCTCTAGCTGCTAGCGGTCATCTGTCCACTGAAGGCAAGGTCTTGGTCACTGAGTCTGCTGCCTTATTTCTCGCATTGTAGAGCGGCTCTGACTCCTGGAATCTGGCTGGGGAGAGAAACCAGAGACTGATACTCCTTGGCTGAAAAGGCATTATTAATTTTGAATGCAATCCATCATGTTTCTCTGTTCAATGGGAAGGACCAGGTTAGGGAAAATAGTGTCTCCAGTTTTGCATCTCCAATACTGCAGAATGATGATTGGGAGAGGGGTGTCTCTGCCATCTAGAAGGCCCACAAGTGGATGGAATGGGGAGGGGAACTCAGTTCTGACTGTTGTATTACAGCCATGTTTGTTACTGGTAAACAGGAGGAGCCAAAAAGTGGAACAGGGAACAGAGAGGGAAAGAAAGTTGTTGCTCAAGAATTTTTGCCTTGCCCCGAGCTGTGATCCAGAAGCCCACCAGCTGTCCTGTGGTAGTGCCACAATCTCCAACCAAAAGCGGCATTAGGAATGTGGAAAGGGAATGTCATAGAGACTGCTGGTCGTCACCCAGTATCCATTCTTCCATTGTCTTCTTATTCCATTCCATTGCTGTGATAAAGAAAACACTGACCAAGAGCAACTTGGGGAGGAAAGGGTTTACTTACTTTACACCACCAGATCACAATTAATCAGAAAGGGAAGTCAGGGCAGAAACTCAAGTCGGAACCAAGAAGGAAAGCTGCTGATTGTCTCATTCTCTGACTGATGCTCGGCTAGCTTTCTCCTACTTTGCAGACCCACCTGCCAGGAGATGGTGCTGCCCACTGGGCGCTGGGCACCCTGCATCAGTTAACATCAAGGAAATCCCCATCTCCATCCTCACAGGCCAATCTGATCAAGACAGTTCTTCAGCTGAAGTTCCCTCTTCACAGGTGATTCTCAGTTGCATCAAATTGTGGCAGTAAAAACTAACCAGCATGCCTTGGTTCTTAGTGACAGAATCTGCTCTTTGGCTCCAGTGGAGAGTAGCAATTAAAAGATTATGTTCTCTGTCATCTCCTGCAAACTAGCAGAAGCCAGCAAGATAAATGAACACCATTCAGTGGGTTCTAGGAAAGTTCTCTATAAGAACTTTAACTTTGCTGGATTGGTTTTTTTTTTTCTTTCCTGCCATTCTTTTATCTCTTGCCTGGGATGGTTAAAAGCCAAGTAGCCTTCTTGAATTATGAGGTGACCATGTGGATACACTTAGGATGATTCAACTAGAAGATGGGCAAAGGTTTCTTATATGATGATTCATTTTAATTGCCAACTTGATACAATTTAGAATCACCCTTAGAGCCAAACCCCAATGAGGGATCATCTAGATCAAATAGCCTATGGGATGTTTGTGGAGGATTGTCTTGATTCCATAAGCTGACGTAGGGAGGTCCTGCCCACTCTAGGCAGCACCTTTCTCTGAGCAAGGGATCCTAGGCTGCATACGTGTAGACAGAGTGCTGAACACGAGCATGCATGCGTTCATGTATCTATGCTCTTCACTACGGATGTGATGAGCATCTGGCTAATTCAAGTTCCTGTCATCTTGGTTCCCCACAATGATGGACTGCAATCTAGAGTTGGGAGCTAAAGTAAACTCTTCTCTTCCTTAATGTGTTTTTGGTCTGGGTATTGCATCACAGCGGCAGAAATAAACCAGGACACCTACCAACCAGCCAGCTTCCCAACAAGCTCCAGCCTCTGATCTCTGACTTTTTTTTCCATAATAGAGGTCAGTGCATCTCTGTTATTTGAGTTGTGATGGTCTTGAGCATTGGGCTATACGTGGTCCTCATGTTGACTGTCATGTGAATGGAAGTCAGCGCTCAGTGAGCGCCAGCTACAACACATGTCCCTTCTTATGCTGGCTTGCTTGATGCTCACAGTTTTATCTTCACAGAGCAAGACACTGTGAGCTGGTAATGGGAGGCTTCCCCTGGGCCATGCGGCAGGCTGCAGAACTGAAAATCCATCCTCAGGTCATTCTGAGCCATGAGACAGTGACATAGTAGACCCCTTCCTGAGAGGTCATTGAAGAGCACTTCCTGAAACCATAAGGCTGTTCTCAGATGAGGCCCGACAAAGCCTCAGTGCTTTCAGGCATGTGCAGATGGTCACTGTACTCGGGTATGAAGCATTTCTTCCACGCATTCTACTTCTGCCTTTAGGGGCACTGAAGCAGAAACTCTGGTCACATGTGACAAAAACTAAGGAAGTCTCAGTCTCAGAATATTTGAGTCAGACTCTTCATTATTGGACATGTGTGGAATCCTTGGCCAACGCAGGTGAATAGCCATTATCACATCATACTTCACACTGGGAGACAGAACCGAGGCCAGCACTTTCCCTGATTCCCGTCTGGTGCTTTTTTGCTGTATTCAACCATCTATTTTCCATTAAACATTATTATTTTATTTATTTTTATGGGGAGAATATAGACAGGATTTTTCTCTTTTTTTTCCTTTTTTTTTTTTGCCGGGGGGGGGGGGTTCGAGACAGGGTTTTCTCTGTGGCTTTGGAGCCTGTCCTGGAACTAGCTCCTGTAGACCAGGCTGGCCTCGAACTCACAGCGATCCGCCTGTCTCTGCCTCCCAAGTGCTGGGATTAAAGGCGTGAGCCACCAAACCTGGCTAGAACATTCTTATTTTATACTTTGTCTCCCTGAATACATCATCACTAGCAGCCGGAGGACATATTACTCTAAATCTG